ATAATTTAGAAACAGCCAATAGTGGGGAACAAATTTGCATGCGGGTGGCGGGATCTCCTTTGCACCGGGGTTTTCTCTATGCAACTGAGAATTGCACCGTGCAAAGAAAGCTCCTCGTGGCGGGAAATAATTCTGCAGTGCCGAAGCGCACACAAAATCATACCCTTGGGTCATGACAGGTTTGAATCTGCTCAGGCAAAAGATGATATGAAACCTGAGTCTGGGCAAGTATTCTTACCCAAATGGGTAAAAGCAAAAGCCTACAGCAATACCATTGTTTTCCTGCTCTGGCCATGCTTCAAAAATAAGGGGTAACTACTGATGCATCTGTGCAGAGCCTGATCCATTAGGCATATCCCAAGAACATCTGCTGAAGTGAATGCTCCTCAACAGAGACTGACGAAGAAATGTCTAGTTTACAAAACCCAGTGGAATTTATGCACGACAGAGGTACCAAACTGTTCATCCATCCCTGCCAACACTGAAGAGCTCCCAAACATGCCCCAAACCAAACCATTAGACATCAGGGGAGCTTCACTGTCAAAAACTGAGGTAGTCTTGGACTTTAGGCACCTCCTGAATTGGGTAGCAGCTAGACAGAAGTTCTGATGATAGTAATTTTGAATTCAGACATCAATTCCTAAAAACGACACTTTACTGTCTATGTTTTTTGCAGATGTACCTCTAAATGTAATCCCAGCTTTTATAGAATAAAATAAACATTTCCTTTTCAGAGTCAGCCGCAGTAGCGATGTCTTAATCTGAACTAACAGCGCTGTGATTTCCAAATGAGTCTAAGGGAGTTAAACGTCTAATTCCTATTGACATTCAATGAGTCTTTGGCACCTATCTTGTTGAGGCCTAGCCTACATGCTGTTGCACTAGTATACATATTTACCAAGAGCTACCCCACCTACAGGCTCTGGAGTGGATACAGTTACACTAGGACAGAGGTATCTTACATGAGGCACCAGTCTAGACCAGTCCCCAACCCACATGGGCATGAGAAGTGTGTACCATTTCTGTTATACAGCTCTCTCTATAGCAGGATAGTTGAAGAGTCCCTAGCTCCTTTGTTTGAAAATCCCCCCTCCCCCGCAAAAGGGGTATTTTTCAAAACACTTTTTAATGTACATGAGCATCTTTGATTAACACTATTTTAGAGGTACTTATTCTAGTTGACTGTTCTTGATTTAGCTGAAGCCCAGTGCTTGTACAGTATTTTGTGTTGCTAATTAAATGAACTTTTCTTTAATCAAAAGGCATATTAAAAGGAAATTAATTATTCTGAAAATTAAGTTACAGTATAGTAAAAGTTACATCAGAGTCATGCTTTCAATTCTGAATACATTTTACTGGTTTTCTCACATGATGCTTTTTCGTTTAGACAGGAGATCTATTCAGTAACCAATTAGATTCACACCTTTTGAACTAATTATCCATTTATCTGTGGAAGCATCATGGTTTGCAATTTGTTCCTCTTCCTTTCCAATAATATTGTTCTAATTATCATAAAAAATAATGAGATTAAGTCTTTGCTTTAGATCTTTTACCTAATTATGCAGGAAAGAAATCAGAATTTATATCCTTTCAGAAAATAAGATAGAACTTTATTTTAATATCACAATTTAAAGCAACTTCTCTTACCTATCAGGAATACCTAGCCTCTTGACACTTCTGTAAACGGAAAGGGTGTTTGCCACATGACGGTAGTTAAACCAAAATCTAGAGGTGCACACCTTAAAATTTAAAGAAGAAATAAATGCATTTTAAAAATATAAATGATACATTCTTGATTAGTACATGCATCAGTAGCTATAGCTACAATGCTATGAAACTAGATAACAAAGAGTGCCTAGCAACAAGAAACTGATGACACAAGTAATGCAAACCTTTTCTGTAGAAAGAGCTTTTATCTACCTTGAAAATAGATGTTGACAGACTGAGCTGCAGATAAAACATTCATTAAAGGCTAGAAAAGGACTAAAAAATGCACTGTACGGAATAATCTCAAAATACTAAACTGATGAGCTGCCTTATTTAACATATCTTCTCCATTTCAAATGCCTCCAAGTCTGAGACTGCCTGTTTGAAAGAACGTGCACATGGATAATTACGAGAGCCACAAATAAAAGAAGGAAAAGAATTGCTAGATTGGTTTTATTTAGGAGTCAAATGCATCAAAGTTAGAACTGGGCCATAATCAGAATTTGAGGGTAAACTCTCAAAAAAAATTCAGAATGTTCAGACTGCACCCTTTCAGTCTGCCAATACCATCAACAACCAAAATGCCAGCGAATTTAAATACTGCTAGTTAAGCAACTAAAAGATAAGCGTCAAGAGAAATGGTCAGAAACAACAATTGCATCTTATAATAGAAGATTAACAGCATAACACAGACTAAGAAAATACAAATATCAATGGCCTGGATATATCTAGG